AGGCCCTAAACAACAGGGAAATACTGGTCAAGGAGGAACAAAAATCTCCTTGCTTATTTCTCCTTCAGCCTGTGGATTATTATTATTTTCTTTTTTTTCCCCTGCCCACATCCAATCCAGTCAGTTCCTTGTCCCTTCGGGAGCACTAAATTCATCATGTGAATGTAAAGCGAGGCTTGTGCGGGGAAGGGCGCTGCGGTTCGCTCGAGCAGACTCATGCAAGGTCACACGCAGCCTCGCCATAAATTACAGCGTGTCCCACCGTAAACAGCAACAGGAGAGGGGAAGCGCGGCGGCTTCGGGGGCAGGGGGCCGCAGGGGCCGATACATAACGTCGTGACAAGTCAAACAGCTCTCGGGGTGTTCACTTGCCAGAGAAATATTTTTCACATCTAATCCATTAGGCAAACAAGATGAAAAAGTATTTCCTACTTTGCTGAAAAAATATCAGGACTCAGTATAACGCGTGCCTTAAAAAAAAAAAAAAGAGAAAAGAAATTAAGTGTGACCATCTATAATGTTTTTTTCCAGCGGCTCTGACAGCCTTCCAGGCACCCTGGCCGGGCAGGGAGGGAGCTGCTGCTTTAAAGAGCTCTAACAGTTTCTGGGTTTTTGGCCCGTCGCAGTGTTGCAGGAACAGTAATGAGTCAGATCAGTTGGAAAGAAACAACCCCGGAATTTGCTTCCCCCTCCAAACCCCACTTCACTGAACCAAACCCAAACTGTTTGCTGCTTTTCTTTTTCCCCTTCCCTTTTCCTGCCAGGTCAGTGGGGAACGTGTTTCATGACACACTTTTTTTTTTAACCTACGAAATTATTTTTGAAACATGAAGATCCTCCCAGCGTTCGCCTTTCTCGCTGGCTGGCTGTTCTGATAGTTCTGGACAAGTGAAAATCCAAAGGGAAAAGGCTTCTTCCAACAGGTCTGACTGCTTCTAGTGCCGGTGGCCATCTCTGATGGGGAGACAGAGGGGAGCGGTGGAAGAGCAGCTTCGCAGACTGCTTGGCAGCTCCTTGGGCAGAGGCGGTCCTCAGCTGACCGCTGGGCAAACGAGCCCGTCGAAGAAAAAGGATCACCCCCAAACACGAGTTGTCTTTCTACTAAATTTTAGTTTATTTCTTTTGGTTTTGACAAAGACATCTAAATCATACACTGAGTAACAACATGACCAGATATTGCAAATCCCCCTTTTTGGTGAAATTCAAAAAGGGAACATAAAAGAAAGAGCTTGCGTGGACCCGGCCAGCCCAGGGAGTGCCACAGCCGCCACCTTTTGCTTTTGCAGAAGAAAAAGCCCTGTGGAGCAGGGGGTGAGTTTGAGCAGGCTGGTCTCATCCCAGCACACAACAAAAAAAGTCTGGTGATCACTTATATTTTTAACAGAGAAAGAAGTCATTAATGTGCAAGAAGCAGCACTGACAGGGGGAAAAAACGGGAGATGGTTGGGTGAGGCTGTGGCAAGCCCCCTCCGAGGGCAAGGAGAGACGTCCTCCGCCAGAGCTGCAGCGGGGCGTCGCGGCCGCAGAGGAGGACCCGAGTGACCACCCAGCACTCGTGGTCGCAGCAGAGGCTTGGACCCATGTTCCCTGATGTGCCCTTGGAGAATTTCACTTCTCCGTCACCTCTCCCCTCCAGAGAACACAAAGGGGCAGGAGAGGCATCTTTCATCTACCGCAAAGGGAACGCCAGACTTAACGATGGGCAAGCGAAGCAAGACAAGCTCCCCGCCAGAGGGGAATTAACCTCTGCGACAAACTTCTCGAGGCCTGGGGTGGATCTGTCTGTCACGCAGAGCCTCTAAATCCAGGCCGGGTGTCTCCCTCCCAGAGGTGCTCTAATTCAGCCGCAAGTCACCGTGCCGGTGGGGTGGCGTTTAACGGGCTGTGTCATGCAGGAGGTCAGGAGAGAGGAACTTACTGGTCCCTCCTGGCTTTAAGAATCTATGAACTGATGCAATGCGTGGCACAGCTCCACCCATACCAATGAGGTCGCTTGCTTCCCCCAACCTCACTTAAAGGAGGGCAAAGCAGACAGAGTTGGAAGGACAAAGCCTTGGGTATGCAATTACCATAAACCCGAGGGGAGCTGAAGGGCTGGGAGAGGGGCAGGGGTTTCGCTGAAGGGCGGCAGGCATTTCTGGCTGGCCCCCGCCACTTTTACAGGTGGTATTTAGCCAGGTGCTGCCGAGGGAGGAGTGCCCTGCAGAGGGTACTGGGGATGTAAGTGCATTCAGATGAGGAGCGGCAAATGAACACAACTTTTACAAATCCTTTTACATTTTCACCAGGTGGATGCAGAGGGAGATGTTTACAATACAAAGAGCATTAACAGCCGTCACTGCAGGGTGATTTATTTAAGTCATGGTCATTTTAACCCTCCGCCTCCCTCCTCCCAGCATAGCTCACTCTGTCACTGTAGCCCTCTCTTACTACCTGGTGCATGTAAACCAAATTAATCCACTGGTGTACAGGTGAAGCTCTGGCTGGTACAGATGCACGCAGCCAATAGGTGCAGCTGAACGTGTAACAAATGAGCCAGCAAACACTTCTGGATCCTGAGTTCAGTAAGGCAATTTTTTTCCTTCCAAACTGGAGCGATAGGAAAATTACTATATATTTATTTTACACACGTTTCCAAGTTTAACCAATGTGAGCCTAAAAACCCCAAATTAACCCCCGGATGCTTTTTGGATCCAGAAAGCTAACGGTGGCACAGTGGGGTGCCACAAGGTAAGTTTGCCACTGGTAAAAAAGTAGCGAGCAGGGAAGCATCAACTCAACTCCCTTGCAAGTGAGAAGGATCAAGGCGCAGGGCCCCAGGAGGACCTGGCTCTCCCCTGCCTGGGCCAGGGGAGGGATACCCAAGCATTTCACTCCGCGGCTGGCGGGCAGCACGTGCAAATCCAGACCTCGGGAGTATCTGTCACAAAGCTCTGCCACTCGGCCAGCACAAAGCGTGCCTACCAGAAAGAGCTGCAGTTCTTTACAGCGCTTGCATCAGGCAAATGCTTTAATTGCAAGGAAAAGGCGATGCCGGGATGCACCTCTCCTCCTTGGGCTGACCCAGGACCACGCGGTGCTCATGTTCCTGGGGTTCCCGATAAGCCACTGCAGCTGGGGAGCTGCTGAACGAGCTATGTTTAAATGAACATCTCTCCTCATCTTATGACTCCTTACTCAATCCATGCAAAGCTGGAGCTGTGTCACTTGGTGTCATTAGCGACTGCTTAACAGCTCACTTGAGCCTGCTCCTTCCTCCCCCCCAGTCGTCTGGTTTTTAAAGCAAGGCTGTGCTACTCCGGCATGCGTGTCCTGCCTCGGTGCTGGAGACAGATGCACTTGGAGGGTGCTGACTCACGGGCGCAGGCAGATTAAAGCTGGATTGCTGAAGCAGTTGCTGTCCCAGCTGTCCCTCTGCCCCCAGCCACAGCAAAGACAGCTGAACTACACGCCGATCAACCCCTGAGCTGCTACTGTAAATCCTGATGGATGGCGGAATCAGCCCCAGATGATTTTAATCTGCCGGGCTGTAACACGTAGGCGGCCAGGAGCTGCTTCACGTACGGTGCAGATGTTTCTGCCGTGAGGTGGAGACGTCCAGGGGAAGGGAGGAGCAAAGAGCTGGGAGCTCCAGGGGTGTCAGCCGTCTGCCTGGGTCCATGAGTCAACTCGCTGACGCGTGGTAAAGCCACATGCTTTAGTACACGCAGCTTCCCCCACGCTGCCCGCCGGTCCGTCTCCAAGAGGTGGAAGGGGTAATGCAGTCCCTAGTCATGCTCTGGCCTTTCACAGGCAGGCAGCAAACAAAGCTGGCAAGCAGGGCAGTGGGATTATTTTACCATCTGTGCATTAGAAACTGGCCCAGGAGTCACCAAGCTCGCTTCGTGCAGGACACGGCTGCTTTGGCGTGCTAACGGCTCCTGCTCACGGTCAGCTGGGGCTAGATTTGAACCGGGGATGAGGAGGTGGAAAACACATTCTCTTTCCTATTTCAGCAACTCCATCCTTTTACAGGAAAGCCAGTTCGGGGAAGAATGAATCCTCATTTTCAAGAGCGCTTCCCATCTGCCGTTCATCAGGCTCCTCGCCCTCCGCCAGGGCAAGCCGCAGCCAGCACTGGGCTGGGGGACTTGAGGCCCCGGGCAGCCAGCCCGCCGCGGGGCAGTCCCCCGAGTCCCCTGAAGGGCTAGGCAAGGCCTGTCGAGGAAGGCAGGTAGGAGAATGTATTTTGCACATTTCAAAAAGGAAACCTGGGACCTGGTATCTCATTCTAGAAAGTAATCATGGACTTAATTGCATTTTGCTGCAGAGTTGCCTTAACATCAAGGGAAAATCAACAGGGATTGTTCAACATCAAGACTAATCTCACATATGGAACTTACTGAACGTAGGAACCACGTTTTTGCTGGCTCAAGGTGAAACGCTGGGCTAAATTCTCCTTCAGCTGTGAGAAAAGCCCTAGGCACGCTCATCCTGCATTATTCCAACTGTAAAGAGCTTCAATTATACACGTATAACCCTTCTCTCCCTTCTACAGCGGTGTCGCAATGCAACAGTGCCTCGTTATGATCAAACTCCTCTTTTATGGCTACAGGAATATGTGGAAGTCTTCTACCCTCATTACACAAATGACTCCTTAGCAGCTTTATTTTAAGAAACTACCCACAATTGGTAACACAACCGCATTTTATCTGTCACTGAGGGGAAGCTGCGACTGACACCTGAGCGTGTCCTCAGCAACCACAAACCCGCACATACAGGGCAGGTCCTATGCATCTAAGCAACTACAGTAACTCACCACTCCCTCTGCTCCACACTGAATCACAGTCTTGCTTCTGCTTACAAACTTGCTTGCTAATCAGACATTTAATACTATTTATGCATAGGGAGGAAATATATAATTCCTTTATTGGGATAAAAACCGACACTAAAGAGCAGGTCAAGTTCCAAATCCAGCAGTAGGTTTTTTAACCGATGTTGTTCCCTTTTTTTCCTCTCTCTTTTTTTTTTTTTCTTTTAACAGCTGTAGCTGTGCACAGATGGAAAAACATTTGGTCAGAAAGCAGCAAATTAGTGTTTTCAGGCTAGAATTCTGCTCCCATCGCTCCTCCATTTCCATGCAGCTCAGAACGCTTTATTTCTTCTTAGCATTGACATTTTTGCACACCCAATTCATGCCGTCCTTCAATCAGAGAAAGGTATACGTTAGTCAAGCAAAAGCAAAGGCAATCCCCCAATCCCACCCAACCACCATTCTGCAAGCACCATGTTCTGCCTCCTCATCCATCCCCCGCCTGCCCTCTGCACCCAAACCCACTGTGGGTTAAAAAAAACAAGTGCTTTCTTGCTCGGTAGATGTTGTCACACAGAGGTCATTAAATCTTTCACCTAACCATAAAAAGTATCATCGTCTCATCATGTCGCTACGTGTAGGTCCTTTGAGGAAGGCTCACTTTGCAGTCAAGGTGCATCAGTGGCAGATGAAGGCTCAGTTCCAGCTTCAGCTACAGATGATTTGTGTAACCTTGGGCAAGTCACCTTACCTTTGAGAGCAGGGATTTTAGGGAGCTGTTTGCTACACAGTCAGCTCCCTGTTAAGAATATGGTTCTAATTCTCTGGTCAGCTGCAAGCCTTGAAATCCAGATCTGTGAAAGACACTGCTATAACTGGATCTGGACCCTGTTCCCTGTTCCTCAGGGCCCCGACAGATAATGGGCTCTCAGGGGTCCCACACAGCTTCAGTAAGAGGCGATGTGGTCATGTTTTAAGAGGCTGATTTTAAGAGTATTTCTGAAAAAAATGTGAGCATGACATCTCTGACCACTGCAAGCAGATAGGTAATGCTTGTGCTGTGAGTACCCGAGTCGTAAGTTTATTGCTGAGATCCCAGAATGGGATATGCTATTGAAGGGCAAAGCGACATTTTATCTGCTGCTGTCACTTATCTGTTGTGAGACACGCACAGCGGAGCACAAGATGCACCATCTCCTCATATTTGTGTCCCATCAAATCCACTACCCCTACCCTGCCTACGAGGTATCTCTGCCAACAGGGAGGCTCAGGGCAGAAAGCAGGCAGGTAGGGTTTCGGGGATGACAGGCAAACGGCACAACTTTTTGCTTGGAAATTGGGCAAACGTCACCTTGGAGTTCTGGAGGGGGGGACTTCACTGTATTATGTTCAATGGTCATTTCTGGATCATTAAAATGATAGTTAGACCCTAAGAAAGACCAGAGCCTTTGGTCCAGCATCACTGCTAGCCCCGTGGTAGCAGCGTCGCTGGCTTCCTATGCCCTTGTCCCCAAACTGCCAAACGGCTGCCAAGGCCCTCAGCCGCCCCAAGGACAGATGGCCAAGGCACACCACGGCAGGCCCTCGGGGTGAGCCGAGACCCACTGCCATGCGTCCATGTTGCCCCTCAGACACAAAGGTGGTGGCCACGTTGGAGGGGAGCTGAAGAGTTAAGAGAGAAGAGAGGGAGTCCTCAGGGCTTAATCAGAAGCAGAGAGATTCTCTCTTGAAAATACCAATTCACCTTGATAGCTGCGCTATGTGACACTTCTTATCTGAAGGGGAGCAGCAACTTCTGAAATCAGCCCTTGTTGCTGCATTAAATAAAGAATAAGCGAGCCCAGCTTGTGGTGGGGTGCACATGAGGCCCTACACTAATAACGCTTCTAACTCTAACCTTGGGGAGGGCTGATGTCTCCAGTTTCATTTATTTATCTCCACAGCAGAGATCAGTGTAAAACAAATTGTCTGAAATCCTCAGAGCAAATGGGAAAAGACGAGAGGTAGATTCATTTTAAGGCCCAGTAGCTTTGTGTCTTCCCCTTTCAATAACACTGATAACCTAGGTGTAAAACATGTAATGCCTTAAGCAATCAATAGCGTGGTTTAAAGCTTATCACTTTAGAGAGAGAAGGAGCGAGCGATTCCCAGCACGAGGAATGCCAGGGCTTAACAATGGGGCTAGGAGGAGAGGTGTCAAGCCTTTGGCTTGATTGTGTGCTTTAGAAATCTGCATGATTGCCTGCAAAGAGTAAAAATAAATAAATAACTAAAAATGCTCCCACAATGATTTCAGCTTCCCCTGCCTCGGAAGCAATAATCACATTTGCACACATCATGGCATACAAGGCAAGCAGAGCTCCTCATTCATTTTGAATGTAGGTTTATTTGCTGAACCAGAACAGCTGAGACAGCTTAAAGTAATAAATATCAGCTGACACCCTCTGCTATTCAGCACAGTAATCCCAGAAACAATACATCACTGCAAAACAACAAACACGCATCCTATCTTCTACCTAATCTGACCACAACCTGAATTCACAGTGATTAAAACTCTGCCCGCTGCCACTCGGGAGCTCGGGAAGGGGACAGACAGACCGTTTCAGCACCAGCGCAGTGAGGGTCATAAAGCAGAGTTTATGATGGGATTTACCATGGCTGGGAGCCTGGCTGCATCAAGCATATAACGAGGGCAAAAGAATGACATAGCAAAATGCAAGAGGAAAGGTGAACTCCAAGCAGCCTTGAAATACATAAGTAGGTCACTGAACTTCTAAAGCAGGAATAGATTTAAAAAACTCTCTTCTGGCATGAGTTAATTGACAGGAAAAATCACATTTAATTGTAAATATCTCCCTGCCTGACAGTGACAAAGGGAAAATGAACATGCTCAGCTCTGCGTGTGTTGTATCAAAGAGATCTGTGTAAGACACTTTCCTCATCTTCAGCCACGCCGCATCTACATCCGTAGTCTGTTGCAAGTTTCTCGGGGGACGTGTTCTGCAGTGTGCCCAAATGCTCTGGAGAATAGCCCATGCAATGGAAGGCAAAACAAGCTAAAAGGTATGCTTGCAGTTTTTCTACCCAAGGCTTGAAGCAGGACAGAGGGTTGGTAAGATAGAGAAACCCAGTGAAACTGCTACAAACACAAAGAGCTGCTATGGGGAAGGCACAGGGGAAGAAGGAAACAGTGCTTGAAAGAGTCATGTCCGCAAGGAGTCAACTGTTGCCATCCTTTGTTTACACGCTCTGCCCCTCTATCTGCATGCTTAAGAGATGGCTCTGTGCCGAAAGTACAATCCCTACAGTAACATTTAGATCTTGATAGATGTCCTTGGGCCGCTTTGTTGAGACACAGAGACATCGGCAGATACTCTGAGGATGGAGCTGGATACAATATTAGTATTCCAGCCTCAAGTCAACCCTGGGAAAACTTAGCCAGGGAAAGATTTCAGATCTTTCAGCTTTGCCTCTCCTAGCTCCTCAACGAGCAGCTAGTAAACTTTACCAAAGCAAAGAGAGAGAACCCCAGGGAAGAGGATAACGCTCCTTACAGAGAAATGCTGCTTGGCACAGCCCCGCCTTGCTGCAGTCACATCTGCTATTGTGCCAAGGGAGTTGTACTCTGACGCCCTTTGGGAAAGGACTGGTAAAGCCTTCCCCGGGAGAAATAAAAAGTCCTGCTTGAGATTAGCCCACTGCTTGCTTATTCTCTGCATTATCAGCTTTGCAGTTATGGGAGTGAAGTAATCTGACTTCAAACACAGCGAACAAGTCCTTTCCACCCCGTAAAAAGCCTCCCGATTTTTGCTCCCCTGCAAGCCAGGGATCAGGCAAGGCCACAAACTTGTGACCCTTAATGTGACCTTAAGGACAGCAAAGCTTAATCCTTCCATGTAATCCTCTGTCTGCCATAACAAATTGGGTCAGGCAAGTGCAAAATTCTCCATCTCTAGCATTTTTGGTATGCACTATTTTAACTGTCACTTTCTTCTCCCTCTGCACAGCTAGGACTGTGCCTTCATTATCTGCCATTTCCTTGCACCTACAGTCATCATACAGGCTGGCTTTTATAGGCTCCCGCAAGTACATTATCCATTGTTTTGTTGCCTGGGTGCAAGCTTTGCTTTTGTCCTCTGAGACCTTGTATCCCTGATGCAGTGCTGTAGACTCCCTCCTTACCCTGCTTAAAAACCACAAGACTTTACCCTGTAATCTGGAAACATGGTTGCTTTTCCTCAACAGGCACCAGCTCTGCCTGCCCCAGGAGAGCTGCAGTCATCAAAACTGGTTTTAAATCACATTTACAAGTAGCCCCTGAACCTTGTGAAGATGTGGGAGATCCCCATCTAGCTTGCCCGGGCTAAGACGTCTGTAAGACAAAACCTAGCTCCAGCTCACTGTCGGGGGGGCCCTGCTCTGAATCTTGGCCTTATGAAAGTGCAGAATCGCAGCATCAGCGTAACTTAGGTCTTGGGCTTCATTCTCAACTGGGTTGAAACAGCCAGGGAGGGGAAGGCGGCTCAGCCTTTCCCACAGTCCTTTGGGCCAGACCAGCCCTGGCATAAATTAGAGAAGTTTAGTGGCTACTCTCAGTTCCACTGGCTTTTAATGGTCTCCAGGGGGCTATTAGGCTTGGGAGACTCCAGACACAATATGCTCCACCACCGTTCTGGAAGAGGATTCCTCGGGGCAGGCTGAGCTTCAGCTGCCTTGATCAGAGACTCTTGCTTCAGACAAGAAAGAAGCTGCAGAGCACAGACCGGCCCAAAGCCTTGAGCCATGTTTAACACACACCCTGGCCCCTAAATTACACCTCCAGCAAGAGGGCAGGATGCGAAGCAGAGGAGTCCTGCCTGCTTTCACCCCATCCCGGCAGGCCAGAGTGGAACGTACATAGCTTTTGCACGCCAAGGACTACCATTGGAGATCTGCTCACAAAAGAGAACCCCAAGAGAGCCCACGGGGCATCAGAGAGTTGTTGTGAGGCAACACTTGCCGTATGTTTCTCTGCTGACATTGGTGATCGCCTCCCTCGCTTGCTGTACCCTGTTAGAGAGTCTTGATGTAAGCTGGTGCAGGACTCTGCTCCAGAGGCAGAGCCCAGAGGCATGGAGAAAAGGTTTTCCTGCTTTCCTAACTAGGGCTGAAGGATAAAATCAGACCCAAGCAGACATTTTGCTTGAAAAAGCCTCCAAGCACGAGGGATGCCACTCCTCCCTCAATGGCACCATGAAGTCTGATTAACAAGTGCTGCCCACAGTTACAGTCAGGAGGTAATGAAGTCTTCAGCTGGCATAACGGGCTACCAGCTGGCATCCAGAGGATACTACATGGGGCTTCCAGTTAACCCAGTCACCTCTCTTCTGAGAGGACATTGTTGGGCCCCTTTTCCAGAGTCCCCAATGGTAATTTTAGAAGAGAAGATGACAATATGGATTTCCTCCTTAATTAACAGTTTTATTAAATAACCCATTTCAAATAATAGTTAAATTCTCTAAATTTATATCATTCTATTAACCATAATCTAATCTCATTAACCTTGAAATCCCCAGTCTTAACTACCCAATTCTATACACCATGGTGCTAGCAGCTAAACTAATTAAATGACCTTCAAACTATTTCTCCTTCATGTATTGGCATTATTTATCTTTGCTCATTGCTCTTCCTTCAAGCTATCACAAAAATCTTCTCCTATGAACTCTGTTCCTG